AAAAGTAGACCGAGTCGAGCCTCTTAACAACTATTTTCAGTCAGTCTGAGCATAGTACTTAGTAATTGTTTATTTATATATATTTTTTTCCAGATTGATCAGCAGCAGCACTTACATTAGCAGATTAGCAGTTCAGGTGGGAACTCAGACTAAATATTACATTGAATATAATTACAGTTATCATGTTCAAGGTATGTATATTCAGTACCTGCTCAGTGAGGCTAGACAAAGTAAGACCATCTGAGTTCTAGTGGCGTAATCTGCCGACTAGAGTGTGCACATAGGCGCGACGCAGTATATTATAGCCGCCAGATACAGCATTTGATCCCGTAGCAGATACGGTTGATCGCAGTTACAGTACATGATATGATTAGTTCCAGTTATATATATATTATTGATCATGATATAGCAATTATTGTTACTGCTTTACTTTAGTATGAGTTTTTGCGGAGCACAGTGGCTTTAGTGCTCACGCTCCCACTATATTATCTTTTTCAGGCGGCAGGGTTGGTCCAGAGGAGTGAGCGGAGCAGGTGGTCAATGATCTAGTAAATATGCTTTTTGTAGACTTATGACATGTATATATTATTTTGCCACGATTTTACTTCCGCTGACGTTTCCAGACTTTCAAAACTTGCATGTTAGTTTTCAGTTTTTAATCCGAACTTTCTGGTCGGATTTATACAGTATTACATGCCGGTTTGATTAAAAATAATCCATTTTTCCTAAATAGTTTTAAATTAGTCGAGTTAACGGATTTTCAGAAAAGAAATGTTTTTCGGTAGCATCCCGAGTCATGACTTTGCAAAATAACAAGTATTTTTAGAAAAGAATTTGCGAAAATTTAACTCTGATTTTAATAAAGCTAGCGGGGTGTTACAAATGGTATCAGAGCACGTTTTTGTGTATCTGAATAACTTATTAAGCTAAGAAATTTCAGAAAATTGACCACGCTACGCTCACGCCTCGCCGACTACCAGGTAAGTGCTGAGTTACTGTTTATATATATATTTAAACGAATGCTTAAGTCTATGCTCAGTAGAGGGTGTCAGATATTTTAACCCTAGAAACTAGTAAGATGCTCGAGTTAATGATCAAGTATTTTCAGAACATAGTTGATTATCGCAGTAATTTGATAATCCGACTTTAGTTTTCTCGGGTTAATTTTAGCAACTCGTCAAGAGATCTGTGGGCATTAATAATCAGTAAAAGTATTTTATCATGTTGCGTCTGATTACGTTGATCTTTTCCAATATTCAGATGCCTCCTCGTAGAGATCCAGATCACCAGGAGCTCTCTTAGGCCACAGTGGTCGCACATTTTCGCGACTACCATCCAGAAAAGTTTTCCGGCCAAGGAGATCCTCGTATAGTAGATGAATGGGTTTAGGGCCTTGAAAAGATTTTCGAGGTCATGGACTGTCCTGATCGATATCGCGTGTTATGCGCACAAATCCAGCTGACTGGTGATGCCCGACTCTGGTGGAATGCCTATTGGAGTATGCGTCCCGGTGAGAAAGAAGGTTGTATGTGGGACCAATTCAAGGAGTTGATTCGCGGGAAGTACTATCCCTTGTACTACCGAGCAGATATGGAGCGCCAGTTCCTGGCACTCAGACAGGGTACTCGTTCTGTTGACGAGTACGAGAGAGAGTTTACCCAACTTGGAGCCTTTGTACCCGATCTTCTGAGTACAGAGGCGAAGAGAGCCTTTCGTTTTAC